ATCATTAGCAGTCCACAGTAACTCCTCGTATGGGTCGAAGGCCACCGCAGTGACCATGTGCGCCAGTGAAGCATTCTGCGGCGCCGTGCTCAGCAAAGCGAATCCACCCTCCGGCACGCTACCCTGCAAAAACACCCTCACATTACACGCTCATTCCAGCTCTCGTAGCTCCCTCGTTATCTCCACTGCACTGCCTACCATGATCGACAGCAATTCTCAAAATTGCTTGCGTCTTTTGCCCCTCTCTCCCTCCACTCCTATTCTTGCAGAGCTGGTATTCTTTCTTGCAGAGACTCAACGCGAAAGGCGACTGCCTGAGGTTACATGGTTAAAGAAAACTAGGCCTAAGGAACGGGAATTCGCTGAGCAGCTCCGATCAGAGCTGAGATGCAGAAGGGAGAAGAGACAAGCCAGCTCCGAGGAGCCGAATTGGGACGCCTTACCGCTTCTGAGGGCACCTCAGCGCTGAAAGCGCATTGCGGAAACAGCGCGTATGAGGATGAAATTGCTGAACAAGCTAGAAGTGAGAATTGAAGAAAACGGAAATACAACGGAAAACCCAATCGAAAGCAGTTTGCACCCTGAGGTTACTACAGCAACGCAGTGCCATATTTACCGAGTTAATTGTCCAAGCAAAATCACTTAACTGCACTCAACTAACTTAAACAGCACACTTATCCCACCATAATTTCTCGCCAATTTTCTCAAATGCGAATCGCAGGATATTTTGTGTCGGAATCGTACTGCAATCTCAAATATATCCAAATTCGTTGCTTAAAAACGCAAATATTCAACCACTTACCAGCGAATTGTCGGCCAGTGCTGCTGCCGCCGCTGCTGCTGCTGCTGCTGCTATTGCTGCATCATCGCTGCGCTGCGTCGCTGTCGCCGTCGCTGCCGCCGTCTCGAACATCCGGCGCCCTGCGTCCCCGCCTCGCCTGTACATTGTGACACTGCGAAAGTACATGAAAAAAGAAAAAAACAATGCTCCTGGCATGCGCATTGTATCTCCACGTACAAAAAAAACTCTTCAACGGAGGGGTACCTACACGGCCCGATGCTGAGGCACCACGTGCCGCTACGTGATCGACGTGCGATGGGCGTGTCCACGCTGCCGGCGTACGGTGGAGATGCTCAAGCAACCAACTTACGACAGGCCCGTGTTCAAAATATTTGGGGGCGTGCCCACGTACGGACACGTGATTGGACACGCACATGACGCGTCACCCCACCAGCATATTAAAACACGGCCTACGCGCGGGCGTGTCCGACGTGCGATGGGCGCGTCCGCGTGCTGGACCCACCCATCTCAAGCACCAACGGG